GGGGGACGCTGGAAAAAGGGTGGAGAAGGTGGAAAAGGAAAAAAAAAACCATCAAAATCGTCAAATTTCCCAAGTTGAAGGGAAAGGAAGTGGGCGGGACGGGCCCATGTGGGGTGAAGGGCCTCATGGAGGGTGGTGGCCCCATGGAGGGTCATGACCATGTGGAGGTTGATGGCCTCATGGAGGTTGATGGCCCCATGGAGGATGGTGGCCCCGTAGAGGGTGATGGGCCTGTGGAGGATGGTGGTCCCATCTGGGGTGAAGGTCCTCATGGAGGTCCTCATGGAGGGTGGTGGCGCCGTGGAGGGTGGTGGCCCCATAGAGGGTCATGATCATGTGGAGGTTGATGGCCCTGTGGAGGATGGTGACCCCATCTGGGGTGAAGGCCCCATGGAGGGTGATTGCCCCGTGGAGGGTGGTGGCCCCGTAGAGGGTCATGACCACCTGGAGGTTGATGGGCTCATGGAGGGTGGTGGCCCCATCTGGGGTGAAGGCCCCACGGAGGGTCATGATCACGTGGAGGTTGATGGCCTCATGGACGGTGATGGCCCTGTCTGGGGTGAAGGCCCCATGGAGGGTCATGACCACGTGGAGGTTGATGGCCTCATGGACGGTGATGGCCCTGTCTGGGGTGAAGGCCCCATGGAGGGTCATGACCACGTGGAGGGGGATGGCCTCATGGAGGGTGGTGGGCCCATGGAGGATGGTGGCCCCGTCTGGGGTGAAGGCCCCATGGAGGGTCATGATCATGTGGAGGTTGATGGCCTCATGGAGGGTGATGGCCTCATGGAGGGGGATGGGCCCGTGGAAGACGGTGGCCCCATCTGGGATGAAGGGCCCCATGGAGGGTGATGGCGCCGTGGAGGGTGGTGGCCCCGTAGAGGGTCATGTAGAGGGTCATGACCATGTGGAGGTTGATGGCCTCATGGAGGGGGATGGGCCTGTGGAGGATGGTGGCCCCATCTGGGGTGAAGGCCCCATGGAGGGTGATGGCGCCCCGTAGAGGATGGTGGCCCCATGGAGGATGTATCCCCATCTGGGGTTAAGGCCTCATGGAGGTTGATGGCCCCATGGAGGGTGGTGGCCCCGTAGAGTGTCATGATCGCGTGGGTGTTGATGGCCTCATGGAGGGTGATGGGCCCGTGGAGGATGGTGGCCCCCTCTGGGGTGAAGGCCCCATGGAGGGTCATGACCACGTGGAGGTTGATGGCCTCATGGAGGGTGATGGGCCCGTGGAGGATGGTGGCCCCCTCTGGGGTGAAGGCCCCATGGAGGGTCATGACCACGTGGAGGTTGATGGCCTCATGGAGGGTGATGGGCCCGTGGAGGATGGTGGCCCCCTCTGGGGTGAAGGCCCCATGGAGGGTCATGACCACGTGGAGGTTGATGGCCTCATGGAGGTTGATGGGCCCATGGAGGGTGGTGGCTCCGTGGAGGATGGTGGCCCCATCTGGGGTGAAGGCCTCATGGAGGTCCTCATGGAGGGTGATGGCCCCATGGAGGGTGGTGGCCCCGTAGAGGGTCATGATCACGTGGAGGTTGATGGCCTCATGGAGGGTGATGGCCACGTGGAGGTTGATGGCCCCATGGAGGATGGTGGCCTCATGGAGGGTCATGACCACGTGGAGGTTGATGGCCCCATGGAGGATGGTGGCCCCATAGAGGGTCATGACCACGTGGAGGTTGATGGCCTCATGGAGGGTGATGGCGCCGTGGAGGGTGGTGGCCCCGTAGAGGGTCATGACCACCTGGAGGTTGATGGCCTCATGGAGGGGGATGGGCCTGTGGAGGATGGTGGCCCCATCTGGGGTGAAGGTCCTCATGGAGGTCCTCATGGAGGGTGGTGGTGCCGTGGAGGGTGGTGGCCCCGTAGAGGGTCATGATCACCTGGAGGTTGATGGCCTCATGGAGGGTGATGGGCCCGTGGAGGTTGATGGGCCTGTGGAAGATGGTGGCCCCGTCTGGGGTGAAGGCCCCATGGAGGGTCATGATCACATGGAGGGTGATGGCCTCATGGAGGGGGATGGCCACGTGGAGGATGGTGGCCCCATCTGGGGTGAAGGCCCCATGGAGGGTGATGGGCCTGTGGATGATGGTGGCCCCATCTGGGGTGAAGGCCCCATGGAGGGTCATGATCATGTGGAGGGGGATGGCCTCATGGAGGGGGATGGCCACGTGGAGGATGGTGGCCCCATCTGGGGTGAAGGCCCCATGGAGGGTGATGGGCCTGTGGATGATGGTGGCCCCATCTGGGGTGAAGGCCCCATGGAGGGTGATGGCGCCGTGGAGGGTGGTGGCCCCATAGAGGGTCATGTAGAGGGTCATGATCACATGGAGGTTGATGGCCTCATGGAGGGTGATGGGCCCGTGGAGGTTGATGGGCCTGTGGAAGATGGTGGCCCCGTCTGGGGTGAAGGCCCCATGGAGGGTCATGACCACGTGGAGGTTGATGGCCTCATGGAGGGTGATGGGCCCGTGGAGGTTGATGGGCCTGTGGAAGATGGTGGCCCCGTCTGGGGTGAAGGCCCCATGGAGGGTCATGACCACGTGGAGGTTGATGGCCTCATGGAGGTTGATGGGCCCATGGAGGGTGGTGGCTCCGTGGAGGATGGTGGCCCCATCTGGGGTGAAGGCCTCATGGAGGTCCTCATGGAGGGTGATGGCGCCGTGGAGGGTGGTGGCCCCGTAGAGGGTCATGACCACGTGGAGGTTGATGGCCTCATGGAGGGGGATGGGCCCGTGGAGGATGGTGGCCCCATCTGGGATGAAGGCCCTGTGGAAGATGGTGGTCCCATTTGAGGTGAAGGCCCCATGGTGGGTGATGGAGGGTGGTGGCTCCTTGGTGGCCCCATGGAGGGTGACACCAGCCCCATGGAGGGAGGTGGCCCCACGGAAGGTGACACCAGCCCCACGGAGGGGGCCACCAGCCCTCCCCCCCTCTCCGCGTCCCCGCGTCCCCCCCAATTCGGGCCTCTTCCGTACAGCGCCACGTCCGTACGGGCGGCGCCATGTTTGTCCGTACGGCGCCATTATCCGTACGGCGCGACCGCGCATGCGCCCCTGTGGAAGATGGTGGTCCCATTTGAGGTGAAGGCCCCATGGTGGGTGATGGAGGGTGGTGGCTCCTTGGTGGCCCCATGGAGGGTGACACCAGCCCCATGGAGGGAGGTGGCCCCACGGAAGGTGACACCAGCCCCACGGAGGGGGCCACCAGCCCTCCCCCCCTCTCCGCGTCCCCCGCAATTCGGGCAACTTCCGTACAGAG